GGAGGCCCAGAGCTCCAGACCTTAGCATTCCTGCCTCTTCTTAATCCTGAGAAGCAAAAAGCCTAGGCCATGGTCTTCCTAGAGCCATATCCATGCCCCAGTTTGACCTTTTGTCAAATAAGAAAGTAGATTTCTGTTTCTTTCTACCACAGAGCACTTGTGATTTGCAGGCTTTCTTTTATTTTGTTGGTCATGGAGCCTGAACTTTAGGCCTGGGTGCTGTCCCTCAGCTCTTCAGCTCAAGGCTAGTGCTCTACCACTTGAGCCACAGCGCCACTTCTGGCTTTTTCTGCTTATGGGGTGCTGAGGAATCGAACCCAGGGCCTCATGCATGCAAGGCAAGCACTCTACCACTGAGCCACCTTCCCAGCCCCTGCAGGCTTTCTTTAAAGCATTGTACACCTTGAAAATAATCCCCCCCGAAAGGTTTTTTTTTTTTAAAGATTTAATTGTGCAAATCCTATAGCCAGAACATCTTAATATCTTTCAGAAAGAAGAGAAGCATATAAAACCAATGCCTGTAGTTTACCAGGGAGTAAGTATGGGAGGAAAATGAAGCCCTAGAGAAAGTCAAACAGCAACTTAGAAAGAGCCACAGTTTTCCATTCTATAAACAAGAATACTGTTAACCATAAGCCTTCAAGACACCTTTGAAGAGAAGTCTCTACAAACCTGTATCTTAACTAGTCACTGATGTCTCACATACAACTTTACATCAAGGACTTCTCATAGAGATGACCACACAATGTGGGCTAACAGTGAAGTCTCGTGTCATACTAGTGCAGTCTGACTCCTTACCCAGAGTGTGACTTTAGGTAAAGTATCCAGTCTTCTAAACCTAGGCCTTCTCCCCTCTAAAATGGGGTAATAACTGTGTAGGTTTGTAGGATTCAACACAGACCTATGAACTTCTTAACATCATGCCAAGTTCACATCACATGTCAGCTGTGATCTCTTTAAGATTCAATTTCCAAAACAAAATCAGATTGTATGTAAATGATTAGGAACTGAGTTCTGGAAACTTAGTCACTCATTTAATTGATCAGGCCTAAGTAAGTGTAATAAATAATCACTCGAAACTGTAAGGTTTTAGGCAATGTTCTAAAGCTGTGCTTCTCAACCTTTACTTCCATTGCCCAGAATAAGTAAGTCCAAGCTCTAAAGAAAGGAATAAAGCATCAGAATACATCAAAGCTTTCCAGATGATTTCAGTGATCAGACAAAATCCTCATTTGCTGTAAGATTCTGAACCTACTTTGTAATTTCACTAAAGACATGGAAATTGTTTAAACAAGCAGCAGCCCCTGGTCACTGCCAAGATGAAGTGTTCCACTGGCAGCTCCCGGAGACAATGCTAAAATAGCACTGACTTTCATCTCTGCCACTGGCTAAGCATCTCAGGTCTGGATTCTTTGAGAAGCCCTGCAGAGAGAGCCTGATGAAGGGATTAAAACTCCCTTAACTCATTCAGATCACTATTTTTTTTTCTTCACACATACTCTATATTAATAGCATTATATGCAAAAAGGTGAAAAAAATCCCTCCAAGTTCTGAATGGAAATTCCAGAATCTCACTGACAAATCATTCATCCTGCTTTACATCCCCTGTGCCAGCCTTTCATTAAAAATCTAAGACCAGCTGGAAGGAGATGGGGATGTGTATGTGTAAACTAATGGGTTTGGGGTTTTAGTTTGGAGGCAAAGGTAGTGATGGTTGTTGCTTGATGTTCTTCATGCTATGGCAAAGTCAATGCATTACAGGAGGAGACGTGGTGGGGCACAGGGATGTCACAGTAAGGACGTGTGGAGTAGCACCAGGGTGTTTATCAGGTGGCAGAAGAGGCAGGAGGAAGAGGAGCACTACAGCCACAGCTTTTATTGGAGTTTCCACAGGAAAGGCAATGCTGGTTTTAGATTGATTAGTTTGGGTGATCTCAGCAGGCTGTAAGCTAGAGGACTATCATTTCTAGTTGCCTGGTACCTGGCCCCAGGATGATTAAAGTAGAGGAATATTGCCTTCTGCCCAAAGAGGTTGATGGAGATAGGCCTTAGGACTGATTAGACCTGTGTGTACTAAAGACGTGCTTCTAGCTAATCCCTTTTCAGTCTCTATGAATTAACCAGCTCAATGAGAGTCAGTTTCTCCAAGCTAGAAAGCTATGTTTTGTTGTTTGTGCTGGTCCTGGGGCTTGAACTCAAAGACTGCATGCTGTGCCTAGGCCTTTTTGCTCAAGGCTGGCTAGCACTCTACCAATTGAGTCCACAGTCCCACTTCCATCTTTTTGGTAGTTAATTGGATATGAGTCTCACAGGTTTTCCTGTCAGGCCCAGCTAGAAAGTTTTGGTATCAAAACATCATAATGCACAGAAAATTTAAAATATAAATAATAAAATTGCCTAACAATATGAATATAGTTAATGCCATTGAATTATATACTTGAAAGTTGCTAGAATGGTAAATGTAATATATATATATATAAATATATGTATATATTATTTTTAACTACACTTTCACAAACCCAGGATGTGTAAGATTGAAAGTGGTAGCCTCTACACAAAAAATAAAAAGCCAAGGGGAAGCCAGTGGCTCACACCTGTAATTCTAGCTTCTCAGGAGCCTGAGATCTGAGGATCATGGTTCAAAGCCATCCTAGGCAGTAAAGAACACGAGACTTTTATATCCAAGTTACCAGCAAAAAAGCTGTGGCTCAAGACCAGTCTTGAGCAAAAATGTTAAGGGAAAGCACCTTCCCAGGCCTCAAGTTCAAGCCCTTACTGGTATACACACAGGAAGGAAGGAAGGAAGGAAGGAAGGGAGGGAGGGAGGGAGGGAGGGAGGGAGGGAGGGAGGGAGGGAGGGAGGGAGGGAGGGAGGGAGGGAGGGAGGGAGGGAGGGAGGGAGGGAGGGGAGAGCTTCAAGGGTGACAGGGTGATCAAAGTAGGTCTCTTTCCCAGGTGCAAAGAAAGGACTTGTTTTCTAGAAAGCTTTGGCCACCTCCTGAAATGTGTATTTTTAGCAGTTTTAAGTACCCCAGCACAGAGGATGAAAGGAAACAGTACAGAATTGCTTCACATTCCCAAACACCTCTTTCACTTCTCATTACTCTATCATCCTCTAAAGCCATCAGGAACTGTGGTGTAGGTTTTTCTCTGTTGAAAACCTGACTCATCTTCATGGGTGGAGCGAGGACTACTGAACCCTGTCTTCCTGCTTGTCTTGGCTGGATAACTCAGGGCTATCCTCTTCTCTGGCTGAACTTTAACTCAGCTATAAACTTTTTCTACAACAGAGTGCTCAGTTATTAATATATACACATGTGTGTATGAGCATAGGTTGACTAACATTTTAATCCATCAGATTTATGCATGCCACTACTTTTAATTTTGAACCTCCACAATCATCTCTGTGTGACACACCATTGTATATTTTGCATTGCAAGTAGTTTTACCTACTAGGAAATTATTGCCCCATTGTTTATTTCTATCTTTCTTTTTCTTCTCCTTCTCATGATCTGGGAAACTCACCATCAATTCTTCTTTTTCCTTGCTCAGCTGCCAAATCTTCTCTCCATTCACTATGCCAAGATTCTTTGGCATAAACACCTCTGGCTGCCAGACTTCCCTGCAATTGTCCTAACATACACAACCTGAAGATGACTACTCTTCTCTCTTTATGTTCTCTCTCTCTCTCTCTCTCTGTCTCTCTCTCTCTATTTCTCTCTCTCTCTCATTTTCCTGGTACATCGAGTCCCCAGAGTAAGTACCAGGGGAAATGGAATGAGCTATTCTTTCCGTTGGAGAGAGTGTGGGGGAAAAGAGAGGGCAGGGTTCCCTAAGTTACAGACTGTTGCTGGTTTGAGGGTCCCCAGAGCATTATAAAGAACTGGTGTTACATGATGAGGTGCGACCCACACTTTCTGTAAGCTCTATGGAAATGTTCAAATTGATCCATTTGTTCCAATTGTTCCATTCCTTTCAGCTAAAGCAAAAAATCACACTACTCTCTAAAGAGCTAAGGAATCCGATGAGAGCATGGGTATGGGTTTGACATATTATTCCTTGTGTAAAAGTTTATCTATTGGGGTTGGAGACACGGCTCAAATGGTAGAGCGCCAGTCCATAAGCGATAGCATCAGATACTGAGTTCAAGTCCCAGTCTTGGACAAAAGAAAAAAATCTACTTCTTAGAGTTTAGAACATTGCTCTGAAGATCCTTGTTCTAATCCTGACCTGGATATGGCGTGTTGTGAGCACTGTATTGGCATCACATGAATTAGAATTTGTGTCCTGACTAGGCCACTAAACATCCTTAGATACTTGAGCAAGATGCCTAACTTTTCTGCTCCTCCATGTCCTCCCCAACAAGAGTAGAGAAACAATGAGCACTGTGGAACACGTCTTATGTGAGCACTGTTACAGTGCAGCGAAGGTTCACTGTCTCGCTTATGGTGCCACAGCTATACACAGGGCTACAATTCAAATCCAACAAGTGCAGCGACTAGAACTCAGAGCCCCTGAGATGGTGCTCTCTTGCTTCTTCTCTGTCACTGAGCTGTGGCTATCAAATCAGACCAGCTATCTAGAAGTATAGCATGTTAGTAATCGTATTCCCAAAGTTCACCTTCCCACCTATTAAAAGACAACACTTAAGTTTCAGTTTTGCAAACACTGAGACTAAAGTGGGTTTAGAACCCAGTACAATTCACAATGCATGTATTAGGCTGTCGATAAATGAGAACTAGCAATATTGTCATTGTTCTGTTGATACTATATAAAGATTCTGTTTGAGGAGCCAAGAAATGCTTATTCATTTCCCTCTGTTCTCAATGACAAGACCACAAGGTCAAGGTTAATTGTGATGCACAGAAAACATGCTTGCATGTTATATTTTACATGATGGAACTAGGCTCCCTTCACAAACCAGGTACTTCTCAAGAAAACAGCCTGCCTGATGATACCAGCGCAGAACTAACAACATGTCTCCTCTCTGCCTCTTACAGATTTTTGCATATATGAATGAAACCTCTTCCCGAAAGGAAAAATGGGACCTCCAAGCTCTTAGATTTTTATCCATTAATTCCATAATTGACCCTTGGGTCTTTGCTATTCTCAGGCCTCCTGTCCTGAGACTCATGCGTTCAGTCCTCTGTTGCCGAACTTCATTAAGAACCCAAGATGCACCACAAACTTCCTGTTCCACTCAGTCAAATGTCAGTAAACAGGCTGACCTTTGCGGGCAGTTGTGAGGACGAGCCTCATTAGCTTGCATCTGGGAGATCCTTCTGAAATGGTCCCTTGGAGAAATGTTAAAAAGTCCAGTGTGTAAACAAAATGAAACTACCCTAATAAAACAGAGTAAACAAACATTTATGCAGCAGTTTGGGCAACAGACAGCCTGACAGTGTACTTCATGGAAGGTGTCAGAAGGATCTATAAAACCTAGCCCTGGCAAACCTGTTACAGAGCCTGAGGAGAAGCAAGCAGCGACATCTAAGACCTAGTCACCTGTTGATTTAAACTTTCCTTGTCCACTGACCAAGCATGTGGTTTCGTAATTTGTTTAAAACTCTTTTCTGTTTTGCATCTTCCATGCTGCTGTAGTTCTATACATGCAGTCTAACATCCCGCCAAAGGAAAACTTCCTATGGATTTTTCTAGAAAGGTGATTTGCAGAAACAATGAAACAACCAAGACAGACAAGCAGCTGTCAAGTGGTTGCTTGGAGGGATCCTCTATGTGGACCATGAAATTGGAGGTCATTTGGCTATGATGTTTGTGATGGGTGCACTCTAGCCACTACAGAATGGCACCACCTAGGTTGCATTTGGCTGTTTGTGTCAGTGCTTCCCTCATCCTTCAGTAGTTCTGTGTTAAATGTTATTTATTTTATGATATCTATTGTGCTAATGTTGAAGATTTTTCCTCTTGAAAAGAGCTAATAAAAGGTTGTTAAATTAATTCTATTTACTACTTTGTTTTGTTCAGAGAGGAGGATGTATATTGCTATGTATGAAGTCCAGTAGTAGGGTTAAATATTGAAAAATAAAGTCCATTCTTCATCCATATCCTAATTCCTTTGATGTTGATGTTAGTGCCATGATTAATGTATGCTTTATTAGATAAATGTGTTGTATAGCAAAATCCATCTGTTGTTATTTTTATTGAAAGAATATGGTTTGACTCATATCTATCAGAAATCATGCAATCATGAGTCATTCCTTAGTATATTTCTAAATGTTTGGCATGATGTAAACTCAGCATCAACATATTTCAGTGAATTTGCACATTTGCTCATAGATATTGTGTAAACTCAGCTGAAATGTTAAAAAATAAACTATAAATCAAAAACTTGAAAATGAAATAGTATTTAAGGAATCCTCCTCCACATTATGCAATGAATGTAGACGTTGCATCTTTAAAATGAGACAAAAGGAAGAAAATTAAATTTAACTTGGAAGTTTTTTTAGGTATGGTGACAAACAGAAGTGGAGCTGTGGCTCAAGTAGTAGAGTACTAGCCTTGAGCACAAAAGCTCAGGGACAGCGCCCGGGCTCTGAATTCAAGCCTTAGGAGTAGCGCATGCGCGCACGGACACACACACACACACACACACACACACACACACACACACACACACACACACACACACACACACACTCTTCTAAGAAAAGTATGGTAACATTGTAAATTTGAGTTTAAAATACATAGCAGACTACTTTGTATTTAAAGATACTTTTTCTTTCCCTTTTAAGTCTACCAATACAGTCTACCAATAAAATTGTAGAATCATCTTCTGTTTAACAGAGTATGGCTATTATAAAATACTTTAAAAGAGGATGTTAGTTTTTTCCAAAGTTTCATTGAGTTGTTTATTCAAAACTATTTCCTATAACTGGTTATATAACTAGGTGATCAATTAGACCAAACACCAATCTAAGCATCATTTTGACAGAATCTGTCTAATTAGTTCTTATTTTAGAATAAATAAATGGTTTGTGGTTTGTACAAATTGACACAAACCATGAAAGAACATAATTAAAATGTAGTCGGGTAAATAAATCTTCCTTGATCACCAGAGTCTAGACCTATGAAATTATTCTCAATGGACAGATAAATGAGGTCCATGGCTAATCCTTAAACACAAAATTCTGACGTTCCTTTGAATCTGGAAGATTGATACCTTTTATCAGATGACCTTTTGAAATCTATCACCTATCACTCCACCACATTGTGCCCCCAAATTCCAGAATAATGTCTGAGATATTTTTGAACAGATGTAACATCATTAGTAGAAGCAAAATTATTCAGTCTAGGAGGCCTGTTCCTGCCCCCCCCACCCAATACAAGAATTTCCACCATATTTAAGTATTAGTAAGTTTCTAGAACTTTGTTCCTTACCTGTGGTAGACAACTAAATCCTATTGTTTCATTTGAACCAATTTATACATGAAAGGCACTGAAAATTAAAATCTTGTGTAATAATTAATTGCCTCTTATTAATGGCACTTTAAAAATAACAGAGCCAGGCACCAATAGCACATGCCTGTAATCCTAGCTGCTAAGGAGAAGATCTGAGGATCCTGGTTTAAAGCCAGCCCAGGCAAGAAAGATTCTTATCACCAATTAACCACCAAAAAGCTCAAAGTGAAGCTGTGACTCAACTAGTAGAATGCCAGCCTTGAGCAAAAAAGCTAAAGGACAGTACCCAGACCCTGAGTTCAAACCCTAGAACTGGTGCAGAAATTAACTGAGGAAAAAAAAATTAAGTGACATATGTAAAAGTTTCCTTTCTAAAGGTCCCCACACCCTTAGACATACCTATTTCAGTTGATTCATTGATTCATTGTCAATTTAAATTAGGGAAATAACACTTGACATATCAGAAAATGGGTTGCGATTTAAAAAAAACAACAACAACATTTTATTCTTTGCCTCTAACAGTCCACGGTATGAAAAGGAGGGACAAAACTCAGGTGGACACTTACCTGAGAATGTCAGCCTAATTCAAGGAATCCTGGAATGGGCTGGACCCAGACCCAAGGAATCTGCTCTGAGCTGAGCTGCTCCTGGATGGTTCAATATGGCCTTGATCATCTTTTCCATGAAAGAACTAGGAAATGTTGGTGCTAATTAGCGATCTGTTAGGAAAGTATGTCTGCTTGGAAGCTGTAAAACGCTTTCAGAAGACCTAAATGTCAGTGTGCTTTGGACTCCTGACAGCCTACATCCAGACCAAAGCTCTAGAAACAACCACAAGGCTGGCAGGAGCTTCAAACCCAGAGCAGGGAGGCCAAATCCCTCCCACATCACATTCTCAGCGTAATTCACTTAAACTTTTGGTAGCATTGGGCCTCTGGTGTCAGGAGGGCTTGTACTTAAGCTAATGTCAAGTGAGTTCTCATTTGAACTAAGAACAAAACAACACATACTTGTTTAGAATTGGATGTGTTTAAAAGGCAGAGGAGAACAATTATCACTCACTAAGGCCAAGGTTTGTTTATTTCACTTAGTTTAAGCCAAGGCTAATGATTTTTGTGAACTTGAGAAGGGTTATTTTCTCCATGTAGACTTACAATCTGCTCCTATAGGCCATGCTGCAACTTGGAGTTTGATGACTCTTCCTACTCCCATCACCATTGAATTTACTTCTACAGTACATGGTGACATATTTCTAGTTATCTTTCTTTCTTCCTTCCTTCCTTCTTTCTTTCTTTCTTTTTTTTTGTCCAAGACTGGACTAGAACTTGGAACCAGCAACTTTCACTAATTGGCTAGCACCCTACCTACCAACTGAGCCTCCAACAATCCGGATTTATTTTATATTACATTTTACTTACCTGAAATACACACTGTGGAAGGGAGTATTTTCTTTTTAGCAATTCACAAAAGCCACAATTTAATTAATACCTGGTCCTAGATCATGTATTGGGCATTGTGCGTACAGAAAGTTACTTTTTTTTCCAGATAGTTTTTGTGACTCTTTAAAAAAATTGTAACTAGGGCTGGGAAGGTGGCTCAGTGGTAGAGTGCTTGCCTTGCATGCATGAGGCCCTGGGTTCGATTCCTCAGCACCACATAAGCAGAAAAAGCCAGAAGTGGCGCTGTGGCTCAAGTGGTAGAGTGCTAGCCTTGAACTGAAGAGCTGAGGGACAGCTCCCAGGCCCAGAGCTCAGGCCCCATGACTGGCAAAAAAAATAAAAAAATATTGTAACTAAATGTCCATGATTTATTTATTTTTATGTACTATAAAATATATGTACTATTAAAGGTTGATTTTAGTGGTTTCATGCTGTGATCCTTGTATTTTGTTTCTAGGAATCTATAAGAAGTCAAGTTGATCAATGAGGACTCTAAGTAGAAAAAATTTATAAATCCATACCCCTCTGTACAACTACTTAAAGATAATAATCAAGGTTATTATAAAAAACTACTGCTAGCCCATGATAAGGACAATTTACCTTATGAAGGTTAAAATGTATTTGTGACTTTAAGTATCACTATCCCACAATACTGTGAAATTTATGTAATCACTTAATCTCAACAAAAAATTATTTTAAAAAAGAAAACCTACTGCTAGAAAACGGTAAGGCAATGTCACCCAACAGGAGCTGTGGCTGCCCACCCCCCCCCCCCCCCAGGAGAACAACCACTGCCAAAACCATAGGCACGCAACGAGACTTCCCAGAGGACCACTTACCTTTCTTTGCTTCTCTGCCCTTCCGTTACATCAGCCAAGCCCTACTGCTATGTTCCTAAGAAGGACTTGGGGAATGAAGTCCACAAACTACAGATCCCAGGTAGAAGCAGATCTAGAGAGAAAAAAAAAATGAAGACTGTATAGCACATGAAAATGTATGTCTTCTTTTTAACACACCATTACAAAATTGAGACAGTAAATTGGGCAACCTCTTTTTTTTCCTTCTGCTCTAAATAGCACCTGTGGGAAGTAGGAATATCAGCTCCATCTCTATGAAAATGAATAAAATATAATAAATCCCTTCCCCCAAATGCTTGTTCTAGTCCTTGCTCTCCAAGCATAGTGCTGACTTTGGAGGTGAATTTATGATCAGGGAAGAGAGCAAAGATCACACCAGAGTGTTTTTCTGGTTTCCTTCCACAGTCAAACTGCTGCTGCTTCTGTTGCTGCTTCTCCTTCTCCTTCTTCTTCTTCTTCTCCTTCTCTTCCTCCTCTTCTTCTCCTTCTTCCTCCTCCTCCTCCTCCTCCTCCTCCTCCTCCTCCTCCTCCTCCTCCTTCTTCTTCTTCCTCTTCCTCTTCCTCTTCTTCCTTCTCCTTCTCCTCCTTCTCCTTCTCCTTCTCCTTCTCCTTCTCCTTCTCCTTCTCCTCCTTCCTCTTCCTCTTCCTCTTCCTCCTCCCCCTCCCCCCTCCCCCTCCCCCTCCCCCCTCCCCCTCCCCCTCCCCCCTCCCCCTCCCCCTCCCCCTCCCCCTCCTTCTTCTTCTTCTTCTTCTTCTTCTTCTTCTTCTTCTTCTTCTTCTTCTTCTTCTTCTTCTTCTTCTTCTTCTTCTTCTTCTTCTTCTTCTTCTTCTCTGTCAGTCATGGGGCTTGAACTCTAGGCCTGGGCACTGTCCCTGAATTCTTCAGCTCAAGACTAGTGCTCTACCACTTGAGCCACACTACCACTTCCAGTTTTCTGGTTGTTTATTGAAGATAGAGTCTCATGGACTCCATGGAAAGTCATGGAGTTTCCTGCCCAGACTGGCTTTGAACTGCGAACGTCAGAGCTCAGCTTCCTGAGTAGCTAGGATTACAAGCATGAGCCACTGATGCCTGGCTGCATGAGAGCTTCTTAACCTGAACAAGGAGAGAGAGCCAAGCTGGAGTGTAGCTCAGAAAGGAGCACTTGTCTAGCATGTGCAAGGCCCTGAGTTCAACCCTCAGCACCACAAGTAAAAAAAGGTGTTAATTTAGAAATTAAAACTTTTTATTTAATTATTTTTG